CTTGTTTGGGAATACCAACCCGACAGAAGATTTCCAACATGGCTTCTGCAACAGTCGTGGCCTCAATGTTCCTCAAGGATACAGCCTCGGGCCACCTCGTGCTAAAGTCCACCAAGGTGAGAATATACTTTGCCCCATCGCTCGCCCTTGGGTTTATCGGCCCTACAATGTCCACCGCCACCCTCTCAAAGGGTTCAGAGATCAGTGGGAGGGGCTGTAGTGGTGCAGGCGGAACTCGCCCTCGATCACTGGTTTTCTGGCACACATCACAAGAGCGGACTAGCCTGGTGATCTCCTGGCCCATCCTTGGCCAGAAGAACGCTGCACTGATGCGGTCAAAGGTCTTCTTTTTACCCATATGACCGCCGAGAGCAGTGCAATGACCTAGCTTGAATACAGCCAGGCGGTACTTGGAAGGAACCACGAACTGCAGTCGTGTTTCACCCAGAGACGCCACAGTCTCTCGGTAGAGACGGTTCCTCTTCTTTACGAACCTCGTTCGATTCCCAAATGTCTCCTTGATGGTCCCAACTATCAAACTCTTGTGTACCGAAGTGAGCGTGCTGTCATCCTCTTGCTCTTGGACGACATCCTGACTATTGATGAGATCAGACGATGTGGCAATAGCCAATGGGGTGACTCGAGGTTTTGTTTGGGCCATACCCCGAGTGACTGCAGCAGCATTAATTTGGGTCAAAGCGGCAGCATCAGTTTGGGTTGCAGCATCCACTGCACAACTGTTTCTTGCTCCCTTGATATTCCCAATGATGAGATCGTATATAGGTTCCCTCATGACTGCTGCAGTGACCCAACCTGAGAAGAAGGGGGTGTCCACCTCAATCTTGGCCACTGGAACCGTTTGAATGTAACCATTGGCTAATTTAACACTTACTTGTGTTCCGGTGTATTGATGTTGCCCCACCAATTCCTTCCTGACAATACAGCCTGATGCCCCACTATCTCGCATGACAGTCGCTGGAACTCCTCCAACGTATCCAGGTTTAACAAGAAAGGTGGGGTGACCCCTCGAGGAGAGGTTGGAGGCGGCAGTTAGTCAGTAGGGGTGTTGGGGTAGACTTGATTCGGTATGAGCCCCTGCTTCAGGTTGCATGACGATCGGCCCTGCTGGAAGGTCAGGCCACTCCCCGCCCACAGTTTGAACACCGGAGGCTTCCTGCTGCTGGTCTCTTTGTGGATTATTATTGCTGGCACCTTGGCCTACGAATTGAGCCACGGCGGCTTCCTGCCGCTGGTTCCATCGTGGATTGTTGCCCGGGCGCCAACTGTCCTGATACTTCGGGAGGCCTTGGTACTGCTTCTGCTGCTGTTTCTGTTGCTGTCTTTGCGGTTGTGGTTGCTGGTCATTTCCTTGTTGCCTGGGTGGGTTCGGTGGCTGCTTCTGTAGAGGTTGTTGACTTTGTTGGTTACCTGCCGACTCCCTGTTCGACCACCGCCTCCGAGTGTGGTACCCGAAAGCGCTGAAATGAGCGTCTGATTTGCTTGCCATTTCCTTCGACGTCTTAACTCCATTAGCCCTGATTTGAGCCACAAGTTCAGGAGGACAAGACCTTTCAAACTGCGTGCGCACCATTAAGTCTATAACCCCTTCCACGGACTTGGGGGTTTCATCCTTACTCATCCACTGAGCCACATAGTCCCTTAAACGATCCCGGAACTGTGCAGCCGTTTCATTTTCTTCCAACATTGCCCTGTTGAACTGATGCCTGGCCTGCTCAGTAATCAGCCCATATGCCCGCAGCAGTGCAGACTTCATGTCAGGGAATTTATTTTCAGGACGCTCTAGTCGTCGAAGAATCCCTAAAGCTTTCCCATCAAATAGGCTCAGGAACTCAAATTCCTTAATGCTGTCATCAAGCTCGTAGGCTTCTGCGAGATGCTCAAACCGGGAAATGTACATTTCCATGGATTCGCCCTCCTTAAAGGTGGGCATCTGTGGAAATTTCCTATAAGTGACGTTTTGAGTGGGAGAATTTTGGTTCCTTTCCGCTAAGGCCAGTTGGAACGCCCGTTCCCTTTGTCTCTCTTCACGTTCCAGCTTCTTTTCTTCCTTCTGAAAGTCTAGCTGGGCTAAGAGTTCTTCGTGCTCGCGTCACTTGTCTTCTCTCTCCGCAGCCTTGTCTTCTCTCTCCTCAACCTTCTCCATGTATGCAACCGCCTCAGCCCCCTCCAGCCCGAGGGCACGTGCTTCCTCAAAAGCCGCTGCACGAGCTGACATGGTGTAGGTGTGGCGATACAATTGTGCAATCATCCACGGTCTGGGTCCCTGTTCGGGCGCCAATTGTTACGTTTTAAATGCAGGAAAGTGGCTTTCTTACCGTAGAACTCGGATACCTTCACACTGGTTACTCACCCAAGAGATTATGGTGTATCACTACGTAGAATTTTGCTCTGCTTCCGGCATTCAATGCGTTATGTACTTGATAAATGATGATTTAATGAATTCCACTAACTTCCAACATCCATCTAAGTTATTGGTTATACTTTGTCATAACCAATCAGTCATTACCCTTGGTAATAATAATAATAAAGGGATCACAGATACGGGCAGATGATTGCACTTACGTTTATTTGGCACAATTCCATACACTGGACTTATAATTTGCATGGATAGGTCAGTCACTCACATTCACGCCACAGTACCGTAAGTTATAAGGGAGAGTTTGTCAACCTGGTGAATTAATAGTTTAGATCTATTAGGCCGGCCTGGAGTGCTCTTGTAGCAAACAGGCCCTCACCATTGATCACTTCCTTTACAGGATGTGTTAACTTGTCGCTGGACTTAACAAAAATCTTGGGGATTTGCACACACAGACCCGTAGCACTGGTAGGACTGTATGGCCCCTGGTCTTAAGTCCGCGGAGCAGGAGGTCTTCTCTAACCCAAGGTCTAAAGCCCACTGGCTAAATTGGTTTTTTGGAGGCGTGAAGTGATGAACAGTACACCACTGTCTCACTGGCCTGCCCCCCTCCCATACATGTCCCAGTTATGGCTGGCCGGTTACCTTATCTCTACCGTAAACAAACATTTGGGATGGGTTGTGCGGGAGGCCCAACGCAACCCATGACAATCATATCGCCCCTCACTCTACGTCTCTCGAGGACGTGCAAATTAAGATGCTCTAACCTGTCTCTGTACTCATGGTTCCTAATGCCCGGGATTATTCTTGCCATTCTCCTCCGAATTCTTTCTAGGGATTCTACATCAATTCTGTAGTAGGGTGACCAGAAACGAACTGAGTAATCCAAGTGAGGTCTCACAAGCGCAAGATATTGTTTTAGGATAACTTCGCTAGTCTTGTAACTAACACTCTCAAGTACATTATTAGCTTTATTTCGAGCAAATACACATTGTTGACTTGGTTTAAGATTCCTACTTATCATTACTCCTGAATCTCTCTCACAGTTGGATTTCTCTATAACAACGTTATTCATCTGATATCTGGTTTCTCTGTTTACATCTCCTAGGCTAAGCACTTTACATTTGTCCAGACCATTCGAAAAATTTGTTTAGATCTTCTTGTAGTTTTGAGGAGTCCTCGACAGATTTAATTACACGCCCCATTTAGTGTCATCAGCAAATTTACTTCTGTTGCTGTCTACGCCTATATCTATGTCATTTATGTATATAATAAATAATAATGGTCAAAGTAATGAGCCTTGGGGTACTCCACTAGTAACGTTACCCCAATCAGATTTAGTGCCATTAATGCTTACTCGTTGTTTCCTGTCCTGTAACCAAGCCCTAATCCATTTTAGAATATTTCCTCCAATGCCATAAGCCTCCACTTTTCGTATTAGTCTTTCGTGGGGGACTCTGTCAAAGGTTTAGTTAAAGTTGAGGTATACCACAACATCATAATTGTGCCCGTCGTCCACTGATTTGAAAACAGCTGAAAAAAATATTAATAAATTAGTCAGACATGAACGCCCACTTATGAAGCCATGTTGGGAATCATTGATCAACTTGTCTTTCTCCAGGTAATTTCGAATAGAGTTTGAAATTATTTCTTCCAGCAATTTGCCTACAATTGATGTTAAACTAATTGGACGGTAAATAGAGGATAGTGATCTATCTCCCTTCTTGAAAATCGGTATCACAATTCGCTATTCTCCAGGATTCTGGTACTACACCCGTTTTTAATGACATGTTAAACAATTTTGCTAAGGGCCGACTGGGCTCTTCCTTACATTCCTTTAATACTCTGGCAATTATCTCATCGGGACCTGGTGACTTTTTAGGCTTTATCTTATCTATTTGCTTACTAACATCGTTACAAATCACTACTATCTCGCTTATTCAATTTTCTTCACTATCTCTGTATATAGTCGGTGCCTCGGTTTATCATGCTTAGATTTTCGGTGTTGAAACATATTTGTAATAGAATGAATTGTAGATGGTGAAACTTAAGGTAGAGTGTTATTGGCTGGTGTAATGATGGTTGAGGATGGGTAAGGTGGAATAGTGGTAGAGGGAGGGAGGGAGAGACACTAGGTGTACTGTAGAGGTCGAGGATGGGTAAGTGAGAGATAGTGGTAGAGGGAAGGAGTATGTAGTAGCACAGTACTGTGAGGAGGTAAACCTACGACTGTAACCAATAAAGGCTCGCTCAGGCTGGCGTCCTTGCCAGACGGTTTTTCGAGATTTCACAAGACATTATTTGATATAATTCAAATATGGTCGAAGATTAAGGAAAAACACTTTGAGTTTATTGAAGAAGTGACAAAAGCCATCACTGAACTAAACCTGATTTTAGAAGGAAAGAACCAACAATAATCTTAATGCATGCATACTCAAGTTTCACAGTATTCAGTGGTTCGTTCATGGTAAAATTTGACATAATTTAGTGGTGACTATTGCCAATTTGCCGAAACGGCATATCCTCGGCCACTTCTTAAGTCAGTTTAAAGGCGTTTTTTTTTCCTTGATCACCTCCAATTGTGCATTATGCACTTTAAAACAAGTTGTTGTTACCTCGTCAGGTCCCAGATTGGCATGGGCGACGCCCCAGGCCGTGAGAATCTGAAGGTGGCCATGGAGAAGGCACGCAGGAAGATGGAGGAAGGAACACCAGATGGTTCTCCAGGCTCCTCCCGCGGCTGCTCGCCTTTCCCGGACTTGTACACAGGACCTCACCTGCTGGACGCCATTAAGAGCCTGGACCTGAGCCCCAACGCTTCTCCCTCTCAATCACCAATGCCGCCCTACCCTGACGGCAACAGGTTCTGCTCCGCACAGGGCAAGGTCAAGGACGGTATGTACAAAATAACAAAAGTTTAATTAAATTCTTTGTGTATGTTTATGTCTACTGTAAGCGACTGGGAAGACAGTTTTCATGATAAGACAGTCGTTGTTGGGTGCTGATTAAGTTGGGTCGTTTACCATAATATAAAAAATTATTTATATTCTAGAGGTTTATTTAATGCCTTTTTTTTAATACATTTTCCACTTGGAAAACTTATTTCTTTATAATATCAAAAGTATCATACCAAGGTTTTCTGAAATATTTTTGAGGTAGGAATGTATTTGATTTTTTTCAATAAAATATATGCTGCATAATATGGATAAGTGAGACTATGATACCGCAGGTCAAGCAAAGGATCCCAACATGCTGACTGTGCCAGGACGTCGCTCCTCCACCACGCTTAATAGGGAAGGTGGGGACGTCGGACCCATCAGCTTAGACGTGCCTGTTCCCCGTAACGTGAAGGATTCTCTATTAATCATCAAAAAGAAGGCAGAACCTGAAGCTTCTAAAGCTGAGAAAAAGTCTACGAAGCCTCCAGCAACCATCTCAACGGTGTCAGAGACCAAAGCCCCTAAAGTCCAGCAGAAAGATGTGAACAAGGATGAAGCTCAAGTTCAGAAGAAAGAAAGTGCACCTCAGAAACCAGTGGCTCAAATCCAGCAGCAACCGGGAGCCGTAAAGCCTAGCCAGGCCAAGCCCAGTGGACAACTGCCCATCAACAATCAACAGAAGTCTGAGGGTCCGGCACCCCCCAAACTGCAGCAGATAGGACGCCTCCCCATCAAGGATCCCTCAGCAGTAAGGATCCCTCCCCCAGCGGCCGTGGGTGCCCGTCGTGGCCCTGATACTGAGCATGCTCTTCGCCGTCCCGCCGCCCCTCGGGTACAGCAGGTCCAGCAGCAGACATTCACTGGTTCCGATGATTTGGAGACGGTGGACTTTGTCCGTCGCCCATCACGGCCTCCACCCAAGCAAGAATCTGACGTCCAAAGCAGTCCACCACCTACCATTGCCGTAATCCCCTCCACCCCTAAGCCAACAGAGACTCCTGTGCCTCCATCTCCTCCCTCTCACAAGCCATTCGTGAAGCCCCAAGCTCCGGCAGCCCCGAAGGCTCCCGTGGAAAAACCTCCAACAGAGAAGATTCCAGTAGAGAAGGCACCTGCAGAAAAGGTTTCCACAGAAAAGAAAACTCCCTCAGAGAAGGTTTCGCCGGAGAAGGCACCTGCGGAAAAGGTTTCCACAGAAAAGAAAACTCCCTCAGAGAAGGTTTCGCCAGAGAAGGCACCTGCAGAAAAGGTTTCCCCAGAAATAAAGTCTCCCCAAGAGAAGAGTGTCTCAAGCAGTGAACAGAAACCTTCGACTCCGCCAGCTGCGACCTTCCACAATAACGCTTCATCTACCCCGAGTCGACCACTGTTGGCACCCACCCCAACTGAGGAGAAGAAGGGCGGGTGGCTTTAGGTTGATTAGTGGGAGTCGCCACTACCATCGCCCATCATATGTATTTAAAGGAATACTAGTCACTGGGTGGAACGACATTTCAACCATAAAAGGAATAAGATCATAATTGTTAGACACTTTTTATGCATGTCCAGCTTCTTATGTTTATGAAATAATTTGTTTATTATATTCTTTCTCTGTCTCTGTTTTGTAATAGACACTGCTCAGTCTTCTTAACAATCGTTCCGCGCATTTCAAAATCTCTAATCAATTGAATTTTCTCTGTGAAAGCCTTTTAGGTCAGTACACGTTTTATTGTCATATTCAAGATCTTTTAATTATTATTCATTATTTGTGTCTTTCGGTTATTTATATGCTTCCATAGCACCTTGAATTATATATCTTGTAAATGTTTGCTGCCTTATATATAAATGATAATGCTTGTAGTATTGACTATTACAGACAACTGAGTTACGCTTTATCGGAGCTGTGTCAACAGTACCCTGAAGAGCTGAACCAACATCATAGCCCTCCAGGTCCTTCCTTACAGAATGCTTACAGTTGAGTGTGTACCAGCCCCTGGGAGGCACAGCCTCACTCGTAACACCACAACTTGCATAGAACAAATCAAATTAATAGATAATAAGTAACTTATGATTATTGGTGGATGGATATTGTTACGATTCTAGTCGTGCTGTGTATACTTGACGATCCTAAAGCATTGCGTATAATAAAGTGGTGGCAAGAAACAATGCTTCTTTAGCTTATAATATAAATATATGATACAGTACTGACATAGTTGCTTTGTTGATGCTCTCTTTTCCAGTCCCAATGCTGTATACACACACCTGGATATAATCCTTACATTTATACGAATATATGAATTCTACAATACCTAATAATTGTGAAATTAGAAAAGAATATATGTAAAAAACAATGTATTTCTCTCGTATATGATGATATAGTTGTGTAAGATTACTCTATAGATATTATACTGTATGTGTTAAGTTCTGACAATTTTGTGGAGAACATGCGACCGATTGCAAAAGTGGCTAACGAGCTGATCAGTGATGAAGAGGTTAAAAAACAAAACGGGATGATGGACAACAAGAGATGAAGAAGAATTACCCAGAAAAAACGCCGCGGGTTGACCACAACTTTCTAGTGAACAGACAAAGGTCGATGGGTCGCTGATATGTGGAAGATGACAGTGCGCATACCTTTTATACACACAAGCATCTTTCAACACACACAACTAATAGTTTCTCTTGTGTGACGGTATTCGGTTTGTAGTCTCGATTATTTATTAAGTTTTAATTTGTATTATATCGTATATGAGAGATTACTTAACATAATGAATAATAATTTAAAAATAAAACAGTTATTATAACAGTTACACGTAAAGCTGAGTTTAAGTTATTCCTTAATTGTTTGTGAGCCAGTTAGTGGCGATAAGGTACTGACTCACACTACAAGCTGGTGGCAATATGGTTATACTAGTGGTACTGAGCTACTGACTTACACGACAAGCTGGTGGTGATGTGGTTATACTAGTGGTACTGAATCACACTACAAGCTGGTGGTGATAAGGTTATAATACTGGTACTGACTCACACTACAAGCTGGTGGTGATAAGGTTATAATACTGGTACTGACTCACACTACAAGCTGGTGGTGATAAGGTTATACTACTGGTACTGACTCACACTACAAGCTGGTGGTGATGTGGTTATACTACTGGTACTGACTCACACTACAAGCTGGTGGTGATGTGGTTATACTAGTGGTACTGACTCACACTACAAGCTGGTGGTGATGTGGTTATACTACTGGTACTGACTCACACTACAAGCTGGTGGTGATGTGGTTATACTACTGGTACTGACTCACACTACAAGCTGGTGGTGATGTGGTTATACTACTGGTACTGAATCACACTACAAGCTGGTGGTGATGTGGTTATACTAGTGGTACTGAATCACACTACAAGCTGGTGGTGATGTGGTTATACTACTGGTACTGAATCACACTACAAGCTGGTGGTGATGTGGTTATACTAGTGGTACTGAATCACACTACAAGCTGGTGGTGATGTGGTTATACTACTGGTACTGAATCACACTACAAGCTGGTGGTGATGTGGTTATACTACTGGTACTGACTCACACTACAAGCTGGTGGTGATGTGGTTATACTACTGGTACTGAATCACACTACAAGCTGGTGGTGATGTGGTTATACTACTGGTACTGGTCACTGAATACACACTACAACAAGCTGGTGGTGATGTGGTTATACTAGTGGTACTGAATCACACTACAAGCTGGTGGTGATGTGGTTATACTACTGGTACTGAATCACACTACAAGCTGGTGGTGATGTGGTTATACTACTGGTACTGACTCACACTACAAGCTGGTGGTGATGTGGTTATACTACTGGTACTGACTCACACTACAAGCTGGTTGTGATGTGGTTATACTAGTGGTACTGAATCACACTACAAGCTGGTGGTGATGTGGTTATACTACTGGTACTGAATCACACTACAAGCTGGTGGTGATGTGGTTATACTAGTGGTACTGAATCACACTACAAGCTGGTGGTGATGTGGTTATACTACTGGTACTGAATCACACTACAAGCTGGTGGTGATGTGGTTATACTACTGGTACTGAATCACACTACAAGCTGGTGGTGATGTGGTTATACTACTGGTACTGAATCACACTACAAGCTGGTGGTGATGTGGTTATACTACTGGTACTGAATCACACTACAAGCTGGTGGTGATGTGGTTATACTACTGGTACTGAATCACACTACAAGCTGGTGGTGATGTGGTTATACTAGTGGTACTGACTCACACTACAAGCTGGTGGTGATGTGGTTATACTACTGGTACTGACTCACACTACAAGCTGGTGGTGATATGGTTATACTACTGGTACTGACTCACACTACAAGCTGGTGGTGATGTGGTTATACTACTGGTACTGACTCACACTACAAGCTGGTGGTGATAAGGTTATAATACTGGTACTGACTCACACTACAAGCTGGTGGTGATAAGGTTATAATACTGAGTACTGACTCACACTACAAGCTGGTGGTGATATGGTTATACTACTGGTACTGACTCACACTACAAGCTGGTGGTGATGTGGATTATACTACTGGTACTGACTCACACTACAAGCTGTGGTGATGTGGTTATACTACTGGTACTGACTCACACTACAAGCTGGTGGTGATGTGGTTATACTAGTGGTACTGACTCACACTACAAGCTGGTGGTGATGTGGTTATACTAGTGGTACTGACTCACACTACAAGCTGGTGGTGATGTGGTTACTCTAGTGGTACTGACTCACACTACAAGCTGGTGGTGATGTGGTTATACTAGTGGTACTGACTCACACTACAAGCTGGTGGTGATGTGGTTATACTACTGGTACTGACTCACACTACAAGCTGGTGGTGATGTGGTTATACTAGTGGTACTGACTCACACTACAAGCTGGTGGTGATGTGGTTATAATAGTTGTGGTTAGCGTCTCAAGGTTGTCTAATGTGTCTTGTTTACCCTGCGTTGCGGACTTTAACCCCCCCCCCCCTTCCCCGAAAAGAAGATCTTATGTGACGAGAAGAAATGCGAAGTTATTCATTCACCCAGATCACACGATAATGCAGAGGGAACAGCACAGGAAGCTCCCACACAGCTTGAAGCGAGGAGGAATGGTAGAGGAGGAACGGGAACGGTGTCATCGTTTAGCCAACACAGAGCTAGTGGGCAGCAGTACACCCTCCACCCTCTACCTCCCACCCAGGAGAGGCAAGCGCCGTGTAAACAATGACATTTCTAACCACACCCTGCAAAATACAATGTATTTAGCAAATGCTGCAGCTACTAAGAATAGAGGGGGGCCGGGGTTACTACCAAGAGCAGAAACTTTACCGAGAACAAATTCCGGCTTGAATGCCATGTACACTAATACTGACACGTTCCTTGATAACGGCTAGTTAGCTGATAAGTGGTGAATATGAAAGAAAAATGAGAGAGAAGTTTTAAACACTACTAAAGGTACACCAACCCGATATAGTAGGAGTTGTAGAACTGTTGTACAAGAACAGGAGAGTCGACCCAGAGGGGTGTGAGTTCAGTATTGACGGATATGACTTATTTACGAACCTTTCTCAAGAAACTTGCAAGAGGGGTGTGTTTATTTATGCTAGGCAAGACCTTAGAGCAGGCCAGGTGAGGGTACAGTGAGAGGATGTTTTTGAAGAATCCAATTGGTGTAAAATTATATTAAAGGGAGGAGACTTACTTATTGTCGGATGTATCTACAGATCACCAAACTGTTGCTTACCAAACTGAAAGTTACTAGTGTTCCCTGAAGAATGCAGTGATGGGTAGGGAAACACTGTGTAACACTGAAGTCCGTTTATTATGGATGAGAGAAATACAAGTGGTGACCAGGGTTGCCAACTCGGATTTTCAAATGTCGCTAGGCTGGTACCTAAAAGTAGCTAAATGTCGCTAAATCTTCCATGGAAAGTCGCTAGCTATTATTCCCCCCCTTCAATAATTTGATGCAAATAATATTTTCATAATGCCGACTATAATGGACGGAGTATAAATAAAATGCATTATGTAAAAATAAAAATATTATTTTGTTGAAAGTTTAATGTGCACACTTACCTATTATTCAATAGTAATTGCATCCCAGTCCTCCTTATAGTCGTTGGCAGTGTGAACAACTGTAGAGCTGGAAGCATGTGAAGTGCTTGGTTCAGGTTCTCTTGTAACTGTATGCCTCCACAGTCCCTATCTTTCTTAAAATATCACTAGGAAGTTCATAACTTGCACAACAGGTGTTCTGTCTTTTTAACCCATACTTTATTGTAAGAATTGCCTTTAATGTCGATAGTTTCATTTTGTTGCGCAAATTTTGATTTCACAAAGTTCATACTACTAAATGTGCGCTCTACATCTGCGTTTGAATGCGGAAGAGATAAGGCAGCGAGTGCAATTTCAGCCAGATTATGGCAAGGGTTTTCACCTGTCGCATCTCTGTAATTTACCACTTCTGACCACAATTTTAGGGTGTTAGATGCATGGACGGGCTGACATCAAGTGATCAGGAAATAGACGTGTCCCTCCTTCTGTGCCACGACCCATTCAAATGTATTAAACTTTTCTTAATATTTATTGTCCCTGTAACCCCGTTGCTATATATTATGGCTCGAAATTAGGAAAACTGAGTTTTCATGGACAGTCCAAAAGTATCCAGAAAGTCGCTAGATTTCTGTGGATATCTCTAGATTTGCGACAAGTCGCAAATCGCTCTAAAATGTCGCTAGAAAAAAACAAAAAGCTCTAGATCTAGCTACAAAGTCGCTAAGTTGGCAACTCTGGTGGTGACGCTGTGTGCCATGCACGGTTCACACAGTCAGACTAAGGCTGCCTTGCCATATGGCAGCCTCGGGGCAATGTTGCCACATAACGTGCAGCGTTGCCACGTGATGATATATATAAATGCTACTCGGCACAGTAGCTTATATACAGGGTTGCTACTCGGCACAGTAGCTTATATACAGGGTTGCTACTCGGCACAGTAGCTTATATACATAACCTACATCTCCCTCCCCCCTCACGCTCATAGTCTTTGTCTTGAGCGGACTTCTTAGTCCTAAGTCGCTCCGAGCGTCGAGGTGCACTGTGGGGCGGATCCTCGTGAGGTGTAGGTGACTCGTCCTCGGTCAGGGGGCCAGCAGCAGGGGGTGGGACTGGCCGGAGGAAGCGGCGGTTCCTCCACCAGACACGGCCGCTCGGCATCCTGACCTTGTAGTCCCGCGACCGGCCGACGCCCATCACTATGCCCTTATCCCCGCAATAATAGTCGTCGGGTCCTGGGCTGTGGCGGGGCACCAATCTCAGTAACTGAAAGAGGCGAAACGCGGTCGTCGCCACCTTAGCGTCTGGGCACCGTGAAGCGATGCGCTCTCGGCTCGGTCTGCCACTCCTTGTAAAGGCCTTGGCGTGTGCAAGCGCAAGAAGCGGAGGGGTGACCATACAGGATGGGCAGGAGCATCAATGTCACTGTGTGGGGTATTCCCCGCGCTCAGGAGTCCTTTGTCAAACGCCTCACAGTCTGGCGGCTTGCCTGAAGAGCCACCTTGAGGATGGGGTGTGACTGTCTTGACGCCAGCCTCAGCATGGCCGTTGACTGTGGAGTACCATTGGGGTGTTGACGATGGCGGACTCCCCCAATGCTCAGGAATCCTGTGGGGAATCGGCTGGTGTGGCCCCACCACCATCAAGTCGCAGGAAACCGGGGACGCCCAGGTCACGAAAAAGAGGTGCGGAAGTGGCGAATGGTGGCGCGGACGTCGTGTGT